TATTCATTTATCACCTGTGTGCAACAGTTCCAAATAAGCTCAATCATCCTTTCAGAGTCCAAATTACTCACCTGTGTTGCAATTTCAGAACAGTTTGTGTTTATGTGAGTGTGTGTATATTCATCCCTGTCAGGACCAATTCAAACTGAGCACATTGTTGCAAAGTGGGTCATTTTTACTTATTCTCCCTTTTTGCCAGTTGAGGTTTAAAAAGAATGAGAAGTTGATGGAGGTGAACATGGGCTAAACTGTTCAGGTTAGACTTGCTGAGAGTCTAAGGGTGGATAAATGACTAAAGAAATGACCTGCAGCGACAGCTGTATGAGTCCACGCTTACATATTAAGCTGTGGATCCACCTCAAGAACTTTTACTAGGAAGCATTTCCGTCTCAAGGATTAGTACTTTGAAACGGAAAGAAATGAATCCTCAAGTATTCTCTGTTGGGAAGAGACTAGCTTTTTACAGCTTAGGAACTGTGGAGGTCAGGTTTCTAAGGCTTCTGAACACCCCTCACTGCTCACTGCGTTTTATCTCTGCAGGTTCATCTCAGCCATGTGAAGACCAGCATTCACTATGCATTGTAAATTAAAAAAATCTGCAAATATATTATGCCCCTTCCTCATCCTCCCATTTTCATGAATGATTTTATCAGTCAGTTTATTAGTCGTTGGGCTGCTTGTTAAACAGCTGCATGCTGCAGCTGGGCAGAAAGACCATTAGTGAGTGTGAACCAGAGCAAAGAATGTGAGGGTGAATCCTCTGAAGATTACAGTCAGTGTTTTGCATCATATAAGCTGGTTTTCAGTATTAACTGGTAAAACATGTACATGAAGTCACTTGTTCATTCCATCTTTCTTTGAGACTTTTCATTGTTTTTGTATTGTTATCCTGAACCTGGTGTGCTTCTTTTTTCCAGTAGTTTATTTAGGGGTTAGGGCCTCATTAGAAGAGAATCACTGTCTCCTGAAAGATGAAAACCTTTATTTTTTCTGAGCACTGCTTGCTGATGCCACCATTGTTGGATATTTGTACATGTGTGAAACGGAGAAGCTGAAAGTGAGAATGTTTTTGTTTGTGACAAGCGTGGGTGGGTGATTGACATCCGTGCTCCAGCTGTTTTAAACGTGAGGCTTTTTCTTTTCATCTGCATTCCATGAGGCGTCTTTCCGATACAGTTTCTGTATCTTTTTTTCTTTTGTCACTGTAAATAGACGCAGTACTAACAAACCTCTGATCTTTTGCATCATATTCCTGCACAGAAGAGCAGTCCAATGACACTGTGAGCAAGGTGGGGAAAACGGTGATGCAAAACCAATATTTCATCTTTTTATTTGGAGGGATTAAAATGGTGAAGACATTTGGCTACTCCTTATGTGATTTTAAAGCAAAGCTCATCCAGAATTAGATTCTTTGTCCATCTTACACACTTGGAGTGAAACGAATAATAAAAAAAAAGATAAGCAGTTAACCACAGCCGTGAAACATGTCTCATCTTTTCAAAGCTGTCACATTCATGTTGTGTAAGAACGAGAACAATGTTGAAAGATGACATAAATGAAGAAAAATCCCAACTATGGTTTAAGGGGATTACATTGAGCTCTTACTGGTCAATTGAGGTCAGACAGGATGACGGAAATAACTACTGCAGAAACTAATCGTATGTAATAACGCTCAACGGTTACTTAAACTATACTCTGACCTCAATCCGCCATAGCAAGCGAAGACGCATCAAATGTACAGAGGATTGTCTGATCCATGTGACTTTATGTTGCATAACTCTTTTATGTTGGGGTTTCATCACTAATATTCTGCATATTATTCATGGAAGCGCCAAAACAATAGAGGTCGGTAGCACAGATTTCCAGCAGGATGTGCGAGCGTTGGAAAGCCTTGCTGCACATATGTTACCATAGACACCGACTCCGAGATGCCAATGAAAAAAAATCCTAATGGAAATGTATGAAGGTGTGCTAAGAAAATCTCTGTGGAGAAAAACTCAACCACCGATTGTAAAAATACTCGGCATCCAACCCATTTGTCTCTGTTACCATCTCCTGCTTCCTGTGAGCAACCATCTTGATGTGTTTGTGTTTAGATGTGCCTCTCTGTCAAAGAGCTGCCTGCTGACTTTTTAATGACGGACAGTTCGCAGGAACGGCAAGCGGCGGCTTCGTATGGCTTTCAGGTATTTGCGAGGACTCTACGTTTATGGTCTATGATACCTCTCTGAAAATGTTTCATGCAAAACAAAGTGAGCTTTGAAGTTGTGCTGCAGCTGTGTTGAGAAAGTGGAGCAAACCACACTTTCTCATCCTCAGACACACATTGGAAATCAGCTGTGCAGGGCGATAAGCTCCCCTTCCACTGCGAATGAAAGTGCCTCCACAGCTGCAGCAATGTGTTGATTTTTTATATATTTTTAAGGGACAACTTTAACTTGTGGCATAAAAAACTTACTGTTTAAACTGCTAGGGGAAAAAAATCCTGCCTAATCTTGCCAAAACTGTGCGAATTGTACAGGTATTAAACACAAATGTGTTAAAAAATTTAGGTTTGATAAAAAATCCAATAACAGAAATATTCTTTAATCTTCCTGAGCAATTTTTAGTAGTATTATTATTTCTTATCATAATGCACAATAACCTTAGTAACCTTGACGCAAGAGTAGTGTGCTAGTCTTATAACAAGCAGCAGTAGCGCCTCATTAAATGCTTGCTTTCTAGGGACCTAAATTACATAAATGGGATCAATCCAATCTTCTGACGAGATCAAGCTGCTTCATAATTGCAAATGGGAATCCAAGTCACCCTTTAATTGGCTGCTATTTGTGCCCATATATGTGATTAGGTGATAAGTGCTCAAAGCAGGTTTGTGCCAGTGTGGTATCTGCCACTGTAGTTTTTACATTTAATATTTCGTAATTAACCTCAGAATTCTAGGCATGTTTCTTTTACACAATAATTATTGTAGAGTTCGTAAATGTTAATAAAAGCAACTGTCATGTGTTGATGCCATGAAATTTAACAATTCCGCCCACATTTAACGCCACTTTTGCTGTAAAGAACAAACAAACAACAAAACAAAATAAACTTGGAAAGATTTTGGCCACAAATGTAGACTCACCGTGACTTCAACATTTGAGCATGTCATGCTTCAATGTATCATTGCGCGTATTATAAGGAGCTTTATGTAGTTGTTTGAAGTCTTTAGGCTCTTTGCCATCCTCCTCTAACCTGATAGACTTCAGCACAACTGGGAAAAGAATCAATTGTTTCTGCACCATCCGTGTGACCATCCGCAGACAATGTGCCTCTTCATCTGCACAGAAGCCCTCTGTCTGCAGAGCTGGATGTGCACACTCTGACGTGACGTTTGTTGTCTCTCTCTCTCTCTCTCTTGCAAATATTCATCCAGATTTAAACCAATATCTGCATTTTGTGCGTGTCTGTGTATGTCCGGTCGAGCTGCTGATGGAATTTGTTGAGCGTTCACGAGGAAAAGGAGAAAACAGACAGAGCTTTTGACGGCCTTCGGGCTCACGATTCGGTGAGACACAGAGACGCAGGAGCAGTGGTTACCATTACTCTGAGTTCAAACCAATCCCCTGTGTCCTGGTTGAAGTTAAAGTCTCCTGCTATCTGGGTCAACCCATCACCCCCCTACCACGCTGTGCGCTGCCCTGTCTTTCAGACAGCTACTCTGAGTGGTATCACCTGTGGAACACATGATGGAAGCCGTGTTGGGAGAGAGCCCTTGTACAGCAGCTTTAAAAATCAAATTCACCGGGTAATTTGACATCGTTTTAGGCCTTCTTTGTGTGTTTCAATGGATTTAAGCTCAGAAAATACACTTTTTTGAAAACGTTATTGAAAACATTATTCGACAGAGTGTGGTGTTTTGTCCTTCCTGTGTTTATTTTATGTCAGCTTTGTAAAAAAGAATTTTTGAAACCGGCTGCCTTACCTTTTGCTCAGAGATACACATGCAAGCTTCTTAATATTACCTCTCAGACGGTTTAGTGTCCAGATTCTCTTTTCAGCACGGCTTTGCTTGTACCTGCAGAGAGGAGAAAAAAATCCAGGTGCTACTTGTCAAAAATAAGTCCTTTTAAACAAAGCCTGCTTAATTTTCCACATGAGCGAATCAACGGATCCAGTCCTACAGTTTCTGCACTGCTGTACGAAACCCCTCAAAATATTGAGGCTGTAGAATAAAAAGAAAGTGATGTGTTTCGTAAGGTAAAATGATTTATTGACACATTTTTGTCTTCTACCACACACAAGTTTCTTTTGTAAACACACTAAATATGTCTACAGAATATGAACAAATATTGTAGGTGAATGCAGCATTTACCAAGAATATCTGCGTCCAACAATTCTAACCAGAAATGTAGTGTACCTCAGAAACCATCAGAATTGTGTGCATTTGCTCGAACAGTGCCACAGCTCTTCCATAACAGTCTTCACCCCTAATGCTAGACAAATGCCCATTTTCAACTGATACAGATTCATTAAATCAATTCAGATCACATGGCATAATATCGTAATGGTGTGGGGGGGTTCTGTTTTTCTTCACACGTGGCATAAAGCAGACTGAATGTAGTACTTTGCTGAAGTCTTCCAGATCTGACGGTGTAGCTGAGGCCCAGCTCACTGGGCAGCAGCTGGAGTACTGTAAATCTTAGCAGCACCAGCAGCTACACGAGCTGCCGCCACATGGTCCACCCAGCCCACAGCTCCTCTGGGATGGAACGTACAGTAAGTATCCAGCACTCAGCGACATGACGCTTATTAAGATGAGCAGGACGGGAAGATAAAACCTCGTACGCTTACCGCTGAGAACTAACAATAGTTAGGCTTTTAACTGACATTAGACATGCCAAAATCGATCATTTTCATACACAGTCTGACAAAAAAAACAAAAAAAAAACGGTTCATTTTAATATTGTGCTTTGCCACTAGTTCGTGACACATGAACACTGTTTAATCAGATTGACAACATGACATTGGACAAGTTGTCTTGGGGGTTTTATCTGGAAGACGTGACTGGACCTGTCAGGCTGTGTCACGCCACCAGCTGTGGGGGCCTGGTTGACATCCAGTGTGACACCACCCGTGGTGTTTTGTCATCTCTGCTCCCCGAACATGGAAAGTAAGTGTGGAGGACAGGTGTTTTCACAGTATATGACGCTCAAAATTGCAGCGTTTGATTCTGGGGAAAAAAAGCAAACAAACAAACAAACAAAAAAAAACGGTTCAGCAATTTGGGATTGACACAATGGTGAAGTCTTTTTGAGACCTTGCTGGGGTGGGTCCAGTCTGTGGCCATTGACGTTTTTGAGTCTGTTCTCTCTCTCAATATTGTGTTTTTTCAGGTGGATGAAAAAAGTATCTTTTATAATCCTGTAAATAAAGAAAACAGCAGAATACCCTGAAAACTTCATTTTCGGTGGAAAATTCCTCCAACTCCAAAGAAATCCTCCACTGTTTAAAAACTTTGCAGGACAGAGAACATTGTGTGCTAACTTGAGAAAATCTCAAAGGAATCTTTTGCCCAATGGGAAAACTTTCTCAGCCTGATAAGATAATTGCTCAGAAGCACATGAGTCTGGATATAACCTTGCATTAAAACATGGAGCAGGAAATCTGTGCTGTCATGGTCATGCTGCATGAGCCAGTTTTCCTTGTGCATTTGGCATAAGTGATTGTTTTTAACACGTCACAGATTTAAATCATCCTCTGCTGATTTGCAACCAGCTGCTGCGTGGTGCTGAATGAAAATAAAAATCAGGTTGGCCAAGCAGAAAGCTGCTTTCTGTTCCACTGCTCCTCGTAGTGCTCTTGCAGAGTATACTCGAGGTCAGTTTGTGAATTTCTTCTCTCCTTTACACAATCAGGTTAGGAATGAATATCTTCTAAGAGCTTTCTCTGCTGTTTTTTTTCTATTCTGGCAGCAGCTGAAAAAAATAGTCAAACACTAAAGGAGAGGAATATAAATGAATCGTGTATTTCAGTTTTTCTATGAATTGTATGTTTCAGGTTTTTTCCATATATCCCACACTCTTGAAATAGCCTGTGCCAGAGACACTGGCAGATCAAACGTGCCGAGAGTCATCACCCACGGCTGTCAGCGCCTTCATTCATGAACACAATACTAGTAAATCCAATAGTGACCCGGGAACGGAATCGCTCTGCTCTTTTGTGACGCCGCCTCCAACTGGCTCCCTCTGTTTCTTCCTCTGTCTATTCCTTTCTGCTTTATTATCATTACACTTCCAGTACTGTTCTTATGTCACAGATGATGACACAGTTGATCTGTATTTACTTTGTCACATCCCTTGCGTTCTCCTCGGTAGTGACCCGAATTCTGCCCAGATCGAGTACCACTCTAATCCAGTTCTCCTTTTGTCCCCATTACAGTGGGGGATATTATGAGGGAGTATTACCGGGCCTCACCGTGTCCTCGATACCCATTATTTACACACCTACACCCAAACACCCACATACATACAGTAATGTCCTCCCATTCGTGATAAAGGACTCATCACTATTTAAGTCCTGCATATTAGAGCATTTACTGATCACGGAATCATGGATGACCAAGAAATATTTTAGTAACGACGACGGAAAAGAACAACCTTGTTTCATTCATTCATGACAAGGCTGGTTAATCTCCTGATATATCAGTGTTGTAGCCTAATCCTTGTGACTCCCTAGGGAGTCGGTTTCATATCAATAAAGGGACACTGAAGTAAAAAATATGTTTCACGTGCGCCAAAGAAAGTTTTGTTTTTTCCAATCTACCTTTAAGGCTCTGTACTATCCATCTCTAGATTATGTAATACAGCCACGCCATTCCCATCTCACTTCTCACTGTGGTAAGGGTTAGATTATATTTGTCAATTAGTCCAATATAAATGGAGGCTGTGCCATTCCATTAATGTTTAAGACAGGTTTTTCAAAATGAGAAATGAGCAGACATTTCTTCTTTTTGGTAGATTTGGTGTGATTTACTCTGATTTCTTGCTCTTTTTTAAACTTTTAGACTGAGCATTCAGTACATTCGCCCCCAACGGACGACATACTGTAGTTTGAGCATTACACAAGGTTTATCAGACAGACTTTTCATGCATGTTAGTTGAGGCAAAGAACATTATGAGGTTTTTCCACAGTAATATGCAATAGGAAATTAAAGCATGGCTTTGTTGACAGTTTGTTTTATTTGGATTCACATATCCAACAATATTGATAGTGTGTGTATTCATGTCTTAGTGGCGATATTTAGAATATTTATCCTAAAGATCCATAACACAGCAATGTGAGCTAATGTTCATCAAATAAAGTAAAACATAAAGATAGTTTTTTGACCCTATCGTACTACACAAGTATGGATTCTTGAAACTTTGAAATGGTGGGGAAAGCTATAAACATGGTATATGTTTTTTCCTTTTTCTCCTAGGAAGATTAAAAATGCACATGGTGGCTCATCTAAAGCTGCAACTTTTATCTGATTCAGGCTGGATTTGTGGACAGGAAAGTGGGGGAAGTCTGTTTTCATGAAAAATTAAACTCTTAGAATTTGATGGGACGCGGGCCGAAGGCGGAGATGATGGCCAAAGTGTTGTGCCTTGTTTGATCTCTGATGTTCATTCAAAGCGGAAGTTGAGGAGATGTGGGAGTTTTGTGGGAGATTACAAAAAGCCAAATGTGTAACCCCTATCTTATTGGGACATTTGTGTTGGCACAGGATGGATGAGATTATGTGTTATGAATGAAACTTCTTTGATTAGTAATGGGTTTATTAATTTAGGGCTTATTTGTTTTTTATGTAGTTGTTTGCTAAAGAGGTCACCATTTTGAAAAGCATAGTGCCTGACATTACACTAACAGTACTGATTAGAACATGAAGATAATGGCTGGAAAGCTGAAGGCTTATTTGATTAGATTCATAACTGGATTTGAAATGGGGAAGGACTTATTTTTAATGGGGAAAACAATCAGGCTTTGGATAACAATACAGATGTAAGCAGTCGGTGAATAAGTAGAAAAGAGGGATGAAAAAAACTGAAATGAATAATATCACTGCACCCAGCTACATATCGGACCATCACAGTTCCATGTTACTGCTGTGGATTCAGGAAACGCATGTGGCCATTTGGAATATCCACTCAAAGATCCTTTTCAAATAGAGTTAGCTGCCCTGAAAAATAGCAAAATTAAAGTCCTTGTTTAAATGTTCATTTATCAACAGTGATGACATATTTAGCAGGGATTAAGGAGATCTAAAAAATAATCTGGAGGGGATGTCTGCATCAGTATGTGGTCGTCACGTGAAGATAATCACCATTTACCAATTCAAGATTGCGCCACAGCACCAGAAGACAGGGGAGAAGTCAAGCTGACAGGAAGATGATATTTTTGACTGACTGGGCTGGGTCCAAAGTCATCAGGAGCCACAGTGGCTAAACGGCTCAGATGGACTTCAGTTGTACCTAAATCCTTACAGGACTAGGTGGAAAGTGTGGAATTGCAGAAATGGCAGAGGGACACAGCATCGGGCCATATCTCTGCCCCAAGCCAAATGAAAGCTCAGAATGATGCATCAATCACAGCGACAGAGACGGCGACTTCGACAGCCAAAAGTACCACCTGGCCGCCGGCGTTCACCTTCCCAAGGTCGGCACAGTTAATTCTAAGTAAAAGTTTAAAATCCTCTGAGGGTCTTACCACAGTAAATAACATACAAAAAAAGAGAGGCAAGCCCCATGAAGTCGACTCTTGGCGTGAATTCTCCCTTAGAGCACATGTTTTCCCTCCATTTGAACAGGAAGGCAGACGCTTGGATTCAGCCTGTGGATATCTGATCTCTCACGCAAAGTCTTATCAATAACAACACCTTACCTTTTAATTTAGCTCCACCTGGGAAAGAATCAGGGAGTTAAGCACAGATGCAAACATCACTGAGGGGAGGAGAAATTTAAGACTTTTAATATTGCTCATTTGGTATAAATGACTCCAAAGCAATGTTAATGATGCATGCTGAGCTGGATGTGTCAAGAGGAGAGAGGCAACATCAAAGTCATCATGTTAGAATTGAATTATGGGGATTATTTTGGTGATGCATTCATTTGCTCTTTCATTGCATGTGCCCGCCTTCACTGTTGTGCACAAACAGCTGTCTGTACAGAACAGATCACCAATCTACGGGCCTTTGAATTCCTCACAAATGATTACCCGAATCGACTCAAGTGAAAAGGGCCACTTTAGCAGGGCCTGTGATTGGAGGGTTTATTGCTGGGGTTGTATGTGAGGATGCATTTGCTTTGCGTACGTTTGGATTATCGGGGAGCGATGAGACGTCACACGACTTACTGAAAAGTAGTTTTTTCTACTCTAACAATAAAGGATCAAGTGAGGGAAAGTGACGATTATTATTTATGCAAACAGGCTTCATTTGAAGTATTTCTGTCTGGCAGTTTGACTGGGACAAGGAATAAGATTAGATTCTTGTGATGGTGTGAGGTGTTACCAATCTGTATTACTATGTAAGTTTTTTTTTTATTACAGGAAATCTGCAGTGTGCGGGAAAATCCTTACTTTTATGTTCTCTCTGTAGATTTGAGAGATGAGTGTTTTGATGGGGATTAGAGTTTTGCATTTAGAGAGACAAAGTGAGCTCTGCAGAAACTTTGCTGCCTCAGAGACTCATGGGACCTCAATCCTCTTTTGATCTTGGCAAAGTACTGTGATCCCCTTGGAACTTTGAACAATTTCTTTCTGTGTTTTTTCATGATTGGTGATTTAACTGCCTTCCCATCTCCTTGTTTTTTTGTTTTTTTATTCCAGCTCAGCCAAAACTGAACAAAACTGGTTGAGTGCTGCTTTCTGCTCACTCACCTCTGCGGTGTGCCCGTCCATCCTTCGTCTGTACCACCTACTCCAAGCAGGGTCAAAGGGTTGCTGGAAGCTATCCCAGCTGTCATTGGGCCAGAGGCGGGGTACGCCCCGGACAGGTCACCAGTCCGTCACAGGGAGCATGGAAACACACAACCACACACCCTCCCATTCCCCATTCCCCATTCCCAGGGGTGAGCTTACCCAGACAGAACCAGCAGGAACACATGCAAACTCGGACATACAGAAAGGCCCCTGGAGAAATTAACTTTAATTAACAAAAGTCCCTCATAATAATGCGGAATTTAAATGTATAACCTAAATATACCCTGCATGAATTTAGATTTTGATATTTATGTCTGCAGATTAAATAAGGCAAACATCTGGATATACACTTTATCAATCCGAATATTGATGTCAGCACATTTGCTGTGCATTCTAAAGATACCATTTTAAACTATTTGTAAAGTGTTAAATTAATTTTGCACAATTTTGGCCTGATAGTGGCTATCAGAGTTAAAAACCACCTTTCTTTTTTCGTGCCAGTGTGCGGACTGTTAACATGGCACAGCGTTAAATGGCAAACATCCTATATCTATCCATCTAAATCTACCTCTTAAATTGACAAATAACAATTGTTATATGCAGCTGTGTGGAGGTGGCTTTGGTATATGATTGTTTTCTCCCTCCACATTGCATTTTTTGACTTCTGTCCACTAACTCCAGTCTCCTTCTTAGATTTTCTTCTTTACGGTTTCCGGCCGTATAGATCATATGAGGTGAAAGCCACTGGTATCTCTTAGATTAGTTTTTAGACATCAGGTTAGGAGGTTTCTAGCCTGTTTTCACTTACATCTGTTTTAGCTGCCGCTCCCCTCCCCTGTGGGGGTTTTGAATTGTCTGGTGTTTACTTGCATTAAACTTCTTTTGAACTGTTGCCACTCTGCGGTGGTTTTATGTTCTGGCTTTATGAACCCTTGTTTCCCTTAGGGACCATAACAAATTTCTTTCCAATGATCTAAATCTCTGAAGCTTTCGACCATTATTGACAACTGAGACCCAGCGTTTCATACGTTTTGCGTCTTTACCTCTCTCCCTAGACGACATGCACACAGAGCAAGCCCACGTGAAACCAGACTCCGGAATGGAATGTTCAAACCTATGCCCTCACTATAGATGTACGACAGCAAAGACATACACATGCTCTCTAGCCGCAATGTGATCTTATGATAACAGCAGGTGGCTCTAATTCCCTTCAGAGGGCAGCTGAATGACGAATAGAAAAGGACTAAACTTAATTAATAGGCACATGTTATTGCTGCCAGAAGAGCAGTTGGCATGCCTTATTTGACAGAACAGCCCCTTCTCAGCTGTTCTCAGCTCAAACTTAAAGGTGTGTCTGGAGGAGGGAGGTGTGTGTCTGATACTGTCCGCCCAAAGGTCAGGACCGAGTGGAAAGTGGCTCTTCCACTCAGGGTACAGATGCGGCAGCCATTTAGCCCTCGTCTGACATGCAGTGAATATGTCTTCTCATTTTTAACAGGGTGCCATCACTTATGTAAAACCGAATCCCGGCTTGTCGCCCTTGTATCTCAACACGAGGCTCTTTACTCTACACATTCCTCTGATACAGAAGCGAATGCTGAGAAATCTCTCCGTGGGTAGATAATACCACTGTACGCTCGTCACGTAATTTTGAAATATGTTATCACTGTCACTATCGCTTGCCCAAGTGTGTTCTCTAACAGGCCTCCTGCAGCAGAGAATATCTGCCGGTTGGGTAAGAAAAAAGAAATGTCTGTGCGATTTTGCAGCTGCACAGTCTGCAGATCATGCTCGTCAAGCATGCACATTGTGGAGATTTCGTTGCAACAGGAGCTCCACTTTGAATGTGATTATGTAAGAACTGTGTCTTTGTTAGGTGTCTAAAGATGAAATGCTTTTGGATCTTCGGCTTGACAACCATCTTCACTTTTTCGGAGGCTCTCGGTAAATCTTGCCCCTACTGTTTTTTACGCAACCTGACAAAAATGCAGCACTCCTTGTTCTTTACATGATACAGAGTATCCTCATTGTGACTTAAAGTCTGCAGGAAAAGCAGCTCACAGACCTGCTTCTCTCAACATTATCCGTCTGCTTATTTTGCTTAGAGTCCTACCACATACTGATCTGATTTGTTGTAATCCAAAGTGCTAAAACCTGCTGACCTTTTAGGTGTTATTGGTGCAGATGTATAGCACATGTTTGACATTTGTCTTTTCCCATTTTCTTCACAGGCAACATCTTTGTGGTGAGCCTGGCAGTGGCAGACCTCGTGGTGGCCATCTACCCGTACCCTCTGGTCCTCATTGCCATTTTCCACAATGGCTGGAACCTGGGCTACGTCCATTGCCAGATCAGTGGCTTCCTCATGGGTGTCAGCGTCATCGGCTCCATTTTCAACATCACCGGCATTGCCATCAACCGCTACTGCTACATCTGCCACAGCCTCAAATACGATAAGCTGTACAGCGACAAAAACTCTGTCTGCTATGTGATACTGATATGGGCATTGACTGTCCTGGCCATCGTGCCCAATCTGTTTGTGGGCTCACTACAGTACGACCCACGGGTTTACTCATGCACTTTTGAACAGTCGGCCAGCTCAGCGTACACGATTGCAGTGGTTTTTTTCCACTTCATTTTGCCCATCATGATTGTCACCTACTGCTACCTACGCATTTGGATATTGGTCATCCAGGTGAGGAGGCGGGTCAAGCCAGACAATCGGCCCAAGCTGACGCCGCACGATGTTAGGAACTTCGTCACGATGTTCGTGGTGTTTGTGCTCTTCGCCGTCTGCTGGGCGCCGCTCAACTTCATTGGACTGGCTGTAGCGATCAAACCGGAGGTGGTGATCCCCCTCATCCCCGAGTGGTTGTTTGTGGCCAGCTACTTCATGGCCTACTTCAACAGCTGCCTTAACGCCATCGTGTACGGCGTGCTGAACCAGAACTTTCGGCGGGAGTACAAACGTATCGTGGTGTCAGTGTGCACAGCCCGCATCTTCTTCCAGGACAGCTCCAACGATGCAGGAGAGAGGCTCAAAAGTAAACCCTCACCACTCATGACCAACAACAACCAGGTGAAAGTGGACTCTGTCTGAACCACGTCTCAGAGACACGAACCCATATGCTGTTTTTGAGAGGTCTTTTTTCTTATTGTTTAAAGCTGAGCGTTTTCAAAATATATACCAAATATAAAGCAGCCTCTACACTCTGAGCTGTCAAGACTGTCATGTTGTACGGTGCTATCTGACCTTTGAACAATCACAGTACGAACAGGGGCACGTTTAATCTTTGCCTCTGCTCAAGTACTTTGACTCCGCAGTACATGTGGTACAGTGAATATATGATGTCTGTTTTGTTTTCATGTTTACAGTGATGATATAAATGTATCATGCATTATATAAGTATTTTGAAATGTCATATTATGAAATGTCATGTAGTTCTATAGTAAGGTATATCCGGTTTCAGTTATATGAAAACAAAACTTTATGAGGCTAATAAGACATTTCTACAAAAGGTTTGTTGAAACTATAACCTGAAGTTTATAAAAAAAGTTAATTAACTTTAATAACCTCATTTGTGACACTGTAACACTGAGTACAAGGAAAGTGGGTTGCTGCTGTCTTATTATACCTTACAGTACCGTCCTTATGCATTTGGTGGAATATTAAATTTATCAAGACAGATCCTTCTCTCTCTACTATATGCATGAATATCAGGAACTGTTAATATGCAAAATAAAATCTGATATTGATAGAGGGTTTGCTTTAGGTCTGTGTTCAGTTTACTCACAAATGCAAGTTGACTTTCATTTTATATGCCAACCTTTAGGAGACCTTTTGTCTGTAATGTCAGATTGCTAAATTAATTGTTTATTTAATTCATAGTTGTTTCTAATAATCAGAAAGTGCCACGTTCACCAGGTTCAGTTCTCATGTCCCACTTTTCTGTTTAAGTCACTGCAACAGTTTTACTTGTTCAGGAAGAAATATTTAGAAAGCATCTTCCAGCTAAGTTGCTATTTTACCAAAAAAGAAATGCAAATCATGTAAGTGAAGTGAATTTAAAAGCAGCATGATACGAAAGGCTGCATTTTAAATGCCTAAACTTAAATGAATGTTTTTATACCAAGGCCAAAACCGGTTTAGATTTCAAACAGCAGTTGAATAAAAAGATAAGAAAGATTCCAGTGTTACAGCTGAAACTGCATCTGCACATTCGTCCATTTTCTATATCGGCTTACTCGGAGGGAGCCTATTCCAACTACTGGGCAAGAGGCAGGATGCAGCCTGGACAGGTATGATCCATACATATAGATAAAAAAGCTAATTCTGCTAGCGACTTGGTTAGTAGTAGTAGAAATGGTATAAAGTCACATGGAGTGATTCACACACAGTCTTATATAATAAACCATTTTTCTTTGGCTTACTTGACGTGACACTAATAACATCTTACAGGAATGAATAAAAGCTTTGCCCCAGGTTTTTCCCATACGGTCATTAGGTGACATGACATATTTCAGATAAAACCAACAGAAATGGAGACACACACACACACACACACACACACACAAGTGTACAAGTTAATTTGCTAGTGATCCATATATCCATCCAATTTTTATAATATTTATTCCAAACGGGGTCGCGGGGATACTGGAGCCTCACCCAGCTGACAACGGGTGCTGGGTAAATCCTGGACAGTTCGCCAGTCCGTCGCAGTGTTAACTATCAAGGAATCAAATATGAAGAAATGCAATACGTTCTCCTGTTATCACCCAACAATAGTGTACTTGTAAATATTAGATAAGTCATCATACATGATGCATTGTTACATATTTGGATAAAACACTTGAGAATATGAAAGACACAAGAATTAAGAGCATAATTATTACCCTGCTACAAAGCTACATTATTGACAGGATTCCAAGACATTGGCTGGAAAAACAACTACTGCATCTGATAACATGATTACAGATTGGAAATCTGTTGTTTTCTGCTTTGTCATACGATCAGAATCTGCAAGCAGATTTTCAGGGTCAGTGTATTTAAGTGCTGGTAGGCATCAGTGTCCTCAACCATGTGAAGGACACTTTAATGCATAGGAAGCAGGAACTGTATATCCTACTGTATGTCAGGGCATAGAAGTCTGCTTCAATGTGTGTGTGGGCAGCTTAGTGAGTGAAACAGACAAAAGCATCATGCAGCAAAGAGATGCTACAGCGTTTTAAATCCACTCAGATTACATAACAGTCACTGACCATCATCCTTCAAGTGTGCGCTAAAAGAGACAACTCACAGTGGATTCCCCACCCCCTTCTTTATCCATTTAATCCCAAAAGCTGTGTTTGCTAAGAAAGACTGAATGGTTTGATGATAAGCAAATGTAGAAATCCCAGGGATTTACACTGCCCCCAAACAGTAATATGGTAATCTGGGATTTTTATAGCCCAGGATGTGCAATAACTGGAAGAGAATAGGCAGGTGTTACCAGGGCAGTGGCACAGATTCAGAGTTAATTCATTACTTCTGTAACTACAAAAAGACAGCTCTTTCACTGGGGCAAGACCAAGGATCAAAGCTTCACCACAGCAAATATGGCACAAATCATAACAAATAAAAGTTCATGTCAGCCTCAATGCTTCAATTCCAACAATATGTGTAACTCTTCACAGGGTTGAGCTGAATTTCTGCTTAATGCTTTCAACACTAAGATGTTCAACTACAGGTATCCTCACAGGGAGCTCGCCAAGAACACAAGTCTATTCTGTCTGTCTTTATACCAAAGTGGATGTCAGTGTGCAGAGTGTGTATTCCTTGCCATTGTCCGCTTGTTAACAAGATTACACCAAAACTGCCAGGGTGAGTTTAAAAAAATACTTGTCAGTAAATACATACTAAAATATTGGTGGCGAATCTATTTTTCTGAGTCTGAAACTTAGAAAAAAACAAACAAAACAAACTTTCATATCACCTTTCATCAAGTATTTGACAGGTAGTTTTACCATAACCTGTAAAAAGTGTAATGAAACTAACATGACACAGAGTTACACACAAAAGAAAATGATTCATGGCATTATGTCAAAAAGTTGAGCAAAAAAATGCCCAACCTTCCATTTACCACATCGCCAAATCAGTTACATTGGGTCTCAATATTTTAGCAGACACCTTCATCCAAGGGGACTCTCAAACAAGGATTAGGGCCAACACAACACTGACTTTATCAGTGCGTCGCTCAAAGACACAGCCGCACATGGACAGAAAAAATGACCGACTTCCTTGGTTCTGCTGACCAATCTGTATCAGCCACAGCCATCATATGACACGTTTCTCATAAAAAAAAGTTAATCGCACATTCCAGATGATATAATTAAGGCAGCGAGAAGCTCCCCTGAAGATGATCAAGTTAATCACTTGTCAAATTTACAGGTGTTATCTTTTATTTTCATAAAATGACATTTTTATTTGAGGAACATGCAAAGTGGGTCTTGAGGTCCCACACAAGATCAAAGAACCTGAGAGAAGAAGATATGAAAAATGATTAATCTTTTTAACAGAATGTGTTAATTAATTTTCTGTATCACAGAACCATCATAGTCATTAAGTTGTTTATTTTATTCTTAAGTGTGCTGATGTCAATGTAATCCAATTAATCTCTAATGACTGTGAATTGCAGTAAAGTAAGGTGGTAAAATTGAAAACTGATGATCCAAAGGTTACCTTTTACAGTTGTTGTATTTTCATTAATTCATTTTCATAAAATTATCTACTTCCAGAAAAAAATATACAAACAGGCATGTAAACTATTAATTAATTTACAATCTGACTGTGAGTTATTTACTGTCACTTCAAACTCTGTATATAATAAAACGTGTCAACTCAAACGTATGTCTTTTATGATTAACAATTCCATCAGCACCTGTCACATACTCTGTTTCAGAGATTCACAAACTTGCAGAGACATGTGTGTCAAACAACAGCTGCTTTAAATATGTGTGTGTACAAAGACTGGAAAAGAATGGCTGTTCCTAAATATTAAAATACTGTATTGAACTGTATTGAAGAGTTTAATGCATCATCCATTAGTGTTCAGGATTTGCAAATTATGGTCCCCATTAAACTGTAGGAAAACCGAGATTGCAGGCAATACGCCAATGTTTTTGTTTTTCACCATATTTGTGTTCTTTAAAACTTTACTCTGCAAGGATTACTAGATATACAAAATTTGATTTTACAGTAACACGTTTCACAACACAAACTCCATCAGACACTTCTTGTTGTGTTCTTGCCCACATTCCCTGAGATCTTTGGTGTGTCAACATGTTTTTACTTCTATTGATGTGTCTAAAGTCCAGCAGCACAGTGTGTCCACCAGCTGTCCTTCAGTAATAATGGTCCATGAAATGGTAGATAAAACTAATATAGTTTTTTGCTTTATCTGATTTGATCTGAACAAAGTCACTTTGTTGTTTTAGAGGTGGACTGTCTGAACTGTAAAATATGGCTCAATACCTTTGAAAACCAGGTCCCTTTAGCTGGCATGGTGTCACCCAGTGTAGCTAATCTCAGTTTTTGCACAGTTTGGATCCCAGGTGGGCCATGATGCTCAGGAAGTGGACGAACAGCCTGAGGTCCAGCCCATGGCTCACCACCAAACTGTCTATGTCCAACTGGTGAAAGTTACCAAATATCTCTCTTCTTCTGTTTCTGTCCTGTCGGATCTCAGTTCTGCAATAATTACAATGAATTACAACGTTCTTTCACAGAGGCTAAATAATCTCTTTTCAGTCTTTTAGGACTTCCATTTAGTAAGAATATCAGACAACTTGGTGTTCCTTTGCAACGCTGATTGTAAGGTGTTAAACCAAGTGCACATTGAAAGGGCAGCCTTTTTAGCTTCCAAATTAAGATAAAACTGAAGTTTTTTTCAAAAAGAGAAAGTCTACTTATTTAGCAATTTTGGATGGCATTTCCTTGAAATTTAGCACAGTAGAGTTGGATTTGTACTTGGCCAGGATCTACCTTTTTCTCAAATTCCTGGAATAGTCAAATGAGCAGCTTTCAGAGTAATGCAGAAAAACTTGTACATGTATTTTTTTTATTTAAGATTGGCCTATGGTAATGATATATTACTAGGCTTTCCAAAAATATCTTTAAAAGTATATCTTCTCTTCACTGTCCCCTTTTTAACATCAAAATATAATTAAATATTTTTATATTTACATATAATGCTCACAATTCCTAAGCTCTGTGACATGTTAAAGATCTAAAGTTGCAATATTTGCCACATAGAGTACTTTGCTTTTGCTCTTTTGTGGAACCAGCTGCTATTATTTGTTTGAGAAAACACCCTACATATCTTTGGGATTAAACTTAAAACCTGCCGTTTTGATGGAGCTTTCTGCATGGAGACCATCCTACAGTTATTCTGCCACATTGCCACATGGCCTTGCAGTTTGTCTTTTTTTTGTAAGGGCTCTGGATGGATTGGACTAATTTGGAATGTAATGGATTGGATTTCATCTTGAAATAGGCTGGTCGAGCCTTGAGATACCATCAATGCTGGAGTAACAATGAACTGAGAGAAACTGATTTGCTATCAGTGAATTGAAGGGCTGAATTAATGTTGTAAAACAATTATTTTTGACACCTGAGTGCATATGCTTATGCCGTTTGAGTCTAACACCGTGGATTAATTTAGCCATGAGTCAACACTACACTGCTGTGCGCACAGGATCTGCTTCGGAGCAATAATATTAATACCCAACGCTCTTAACTTACACCGGAGACAGTCGGGTTTAACAGAGACACAGATGCCATAGTTTTGCAAAGTCAGAAAGTCAGACTGACCGTCTCCCTGTTGGACATGTGACCAAGACCTGGAATGCATTGTGACAATACATAACTGCACAATAAATATATATATTTAACCACACTCAAGACTAGTGTGACCTGTTGGGACATTAACTTTATGAAAAAGTTCTAATTTCATACCTATAGCTTTTATTATCCCAAATTATTTGATTTATTTATGACTTTTCTAATCTAGGCACAGTGGAGTGTTTCTTACACTTTTTTAAATGTTGGGTTCAAAGCTGAAAAATTAGTGACACTGTCCAGTTGGTGAGTAATTCAGTTTTCCCCTCCCATTTTTCTCACAGAGCCTTAATCCACAGGTGAATCAGTCAGGCCTCGGCTGCTCCCCAGAGCTGTAAAACACTGCACTCCGCTGTCTGGGAACCGCACAGCGTAGAGGGGATTCTAATGATCTCACCACCAGTGGAGTTACATAAACTGACATGATAATGGTATGTCCTGACAAGGGACAGAGACCATTAGCGGGCTTTCGGTGGTCCTGCTCTAATGAGATTACAGAAAAATATGACGTCAGATCTAATAATAAAAAGAAAAATGCAGCTATCATGTTACTATGCTTGCACAAGCTCACGGGCTCTGTACTCCTCTACATAATCATGCATGTTTTTTCTGGGGTTTTTTTTTCTTCAATGTGCAGCAGCGATGCAATGAACCATGCATCTGGAAAAAGGTGTTCGGTTTAAAAAATTACAAGAAATCTAAACTTCGTATTCTGCTCTTCTTCATCCTGCTTCATCTGCTCACTTTCTCTCGGTTGTTTTTCTTTTTCACTTCTCCTCTAGCTTTCATCCAGTAATGGAAGCTGTTTTCACATACCTTTTAACACATTTCCCAGAAGGGCATGTCAGCTTAGGTTTCTGCCTGACCAAACAAGATTGATATGGAGCGTTTCAGATTATCAAGAAAAAGAGAGAGAAAAAAAGGAATTTAGAAAGCCCACCGAAGACGAAGGTGTCGAAGTCTGTAGGATAAGATTAAACTGTAATTAGATACATAAACGCTTGGGTTACTCATGCAAGTATTATCTACATGAAAAATTAAAGAGCCAATACATGTAGGATGAAGCAGTCACCATGGCAATGTAGAAAATCTTGTTTTCTAGGTCGTAGTCACTGTTTTTTTTAGAGACTGCTTTATCCCAAACTATATAACTAGTACTTCCTCCCGAACCCTAATCATGTAGCTTTGGCGCTGAATTTTAATCAAACATCAAGTGAAAGTAGAGTTGACATCAAAATGAACACACCTGGGACTGAAATGCAAATCTTCCTGAAGAAGAAAACATGTGACTTCTCCATATTGCAGACTTTTTCTGAAACATTTCTACATGCATGTTTATGTGCAGTAAGGACACTTTTTTTCCGCAATCCAAACATATTTTCACATGTGTTCTCCTAAAAAAAAACATGGCTCTTATTTATGTATGAGTGGGCACGGCCTTTAAAACAGTGCAGAGGTTAAACTGTTACATTCATGACAGATATCGAGATTTTCCAAACTGTTTATGAAAGATTGCAGAAAGCAATGGTTGTTTTGAATTGATGAAATTTTGCAAAAAAAAGGTTATAAGGAACAAATGAATGTCCTCACCAATACTTTCTGTTCATTTGCTTTGCAGCAGTTTGAATTTGGTAACTGTGGCTCTGAGAGAGCAGAAAGAGATTTGTTGTGAACAGCTCAAAGGAATAAATGACTTAGTTGGAAAAGAAAAAGCCATTCCTCAGGCCTGATTCAGAAAGCTCAATATTTTTGGCTACTGGTCAATTTAAATCCCAGGAGCTTAACAAATCTGAAACATGCCTGCAGTTAAGCTGATTTTAGTTCGTAAAAAGATGTTTTCCCTCAAGAATTATTAATCTGTTTATAATATTTTATTTATTGTTCTTTAACTTTCCATAGCTCAAGCCAAGGAAAACACAAAAATAAATCATGACAAAACGTTAAAAAAACAGATATAATGTACACATGTTTTTTATCTTTTTTTTTGTTGCACATTTTGACAATAATGTACAAAAAGAAAGTGTTCTCTATTCAAGAGATTGCTTTTAAAGGGTTAATGTTGGATTGGCACTTGTCAAACACAAGTCTATCGATGTGTAAAAACATCAAAACCAAAACAGTGTAGAGGGGAAAACGATTAAGGTAAACAACAAAAAAAGAACTCAAATACTCTGTGCCATCACAAAAAACACAGGAAAAATGGAAATGCTGTTGGAGGGTTTTAAATCAGTTAAACTATCTCTGTTCTATCTCACCTACTCTTTTCCAGAGTCACCGGGCTATAATTATGCCTACCTCCTTGCTATTGTTACTTGGCAGAGTGTCAATCACACCTTCATGCATTGCCTGGCACCCGGATTCCCATTCTATTTACTTTTACTTTTACTTATGTCAACTACCCTCAACCTACCTTCAAATTCTGTTTTGCAATTTGAAGTTATCCCTTTTTAATAACTCCTACCTTCGTGATCATAATGTTTTACTGTCCATAGAATCTAGGACGTTAGCTATGGCTTTAGATTTGTCTCTTTTGGAGCCTCGGGTTCCGTTTGTTTTTGAAGATAACACACATATCCCTCATTTAGAAGTGAGGGCACTTCATGTAATCTGAACACACACTCAAGAGCTTACATTTACTGCAAGAGGAAGCTAAACTCATCACTGGCACTGCATGTCGGTGTTAATATTCAGAAAAAGAACAGGTTGTCTCTGCCTAATCAAAGATAGAAATGAATAATTTTCCTCCAAAAAATATTCAAAGCATGTCATCATAATTCAACACCAACACCTTTTTGATGATGTTTTTTAGTTGCACGGTTCGTATTCTGCCATTGGCTTAATTTCTTGTGAGTTTGTTGCTCGGTCAGCACAAAAGTCCCCCTGCTGCTCTCATTGCACCAAAGAGCAGATGGACATGACTGAGACATGCCAGCCCATGACTCATAAAGTTACAACCGCAACAGTAACTGTGACCCAGTTGTGTGCTTGACATTTTAGTACCAACAGACACATGTCATTTGTCAGGATTGTATCCTTTATTTGCTGGTGTTTGATCTAATTGTGTTTGGACGAGTTGCCATGAATTAAGCTTTTAGGGCCACCGTAAAAAATTCCATTAAAAAGGATCAAAACAGACTTGGCAAATCAATAACATGAAAAGCATCGGACTTAAACATCTGCTCGAGCTTCTGCTCCACGGGAGAGAGACCAACTGAGAACATACAGCTGAGTGAAATGATAAGGAGGCTATACCGTTCTGTAGATTAACACATGCCTAAGACACTTGGCAAGTTTCCATTATGAAAGCTGCATTGTTTTTGTTTTTTTTGTTTTTTTTGTTTGGTTTGTGTATTTTTTTTATGTTTGATGCAGTGAGTCACAATGACATCACACGAATCCTAGGCATCAGACCACAAAAATGAATTTACTCAATAAATACACAATATCACCACCTGATTTGTTGTCAGGTATTGCCACATCATTGTGTAACTCCTCTCTGTAATGTTTCAGTCTGGTCCCTTGTCTGGAATTCCCTTTGTGTTACTTACCAGCTGACTTATCTTTTCTCACTGTGCCTCTGCCCAGCCTGTCTGGCTACTCTCATTCTGATGACCAGTCCTTATCAGCCAAGTCCAAGAGATGTGTCAGGTCTGTAGCCTGTCAGCTTGAGCTCTTCATTCAGTAACAAATACCCTCAGTTAAAAAAAAAGAAAAGAAAGATCATTCCTCATCGTTGTTTGTCCCTTTACACTGTATTACATTAGTTCAGCTGTCGTCGATACGACGGGGCGCTTCT